TGGGGGGGGGGTCCAAGGGGAGAAGGGCGTGCCTCGACAGGCACGTGGGGTGTGGTTCCAGGGACCCAATCACCTTGATCCAAGGGCGAGGGCGCAGCCAGGGTGCCCAGAGGGCGCCCCCAGGGGTTCCGCCGACGCCTCCTCAGCTCCCCGAGCTTGGCCAGGAAGTCCTCAGCCCTCTCGTCCTTGAGGAAGGCGTCCCCTCGCCGCCATGGTGTCCGTCCCACTCGGTGGTACCCCGAGCAGTGTCGGGGAGTTATCTCAGCCCAGTGAGACCCCCCAGACCACTGGGGCTGCTGGGCTGCTGGACGGCGAGGAGGGCCAGAGCATCGGGACTGTCCGGCCCTCCTTGATCCCACTCCTGCCTCAGTTGTCCGACCACTCTGCCGACGCTGACTTGACGCTGGACCTGACCCTGGGCGGTCCGGGCTCCTTCATCAATACCAGCACCGAGCTTGAGATGAGCAGCTCCAGCTTTCGGGGGCTGTTCATCTTCGCCTACTTCTCCATCATGTTCGTCTCCCTCTTTGGAAACTCTCTGGTCTGCAGCGTGATTATGAAGCGTAAGCGGGTCCACTCGGCCACCGGGCTCTTCATCGTCAACCTAGCCGTGGCCAACATCCTGATTACATTGCTGAACACACCTTTCACTTTGGTAAGGGTGGAGTGGGATGGGCTGTGGTGGGGGATAGGAAGGGAACAACAGAAAGCTAGGCAAGTGGGATGATGGGTAGACCCCAGGACACATTTTTCTGTTTGCCTAACGGGCTATCCAAGGGAGGTTGCCGACTTTTCCCTCACAGAGTGCTTTGAGATCTGAATAGATCCCTCCCCCCAAGCTTATTTAGGCCAGGGATGGCTAGGAGGTGGGGCAGGAGCATGGGCAGCGACCAGTCTAAGAAATCAATCCATCACTCAATCAGTCACGAAATGCCCCCGACCCTGGTCTGCCTTGGATGCCCCAGCATTTCCTTCGGCTCCCTTAGCTTTCAACGTTTATCGAGAGCCGCTCGGGGTGGGGAGCCGGGCTCAAGCCTGTCCTGCTTCCACTTTCTGTCTGTGGGACTATGGCACTAACCTCTCTCCGGCTCAGTTTCCTCCTCTGTCAAATGACGACACAATTTTTCTCTGTCCTTTCGACCTCATCATTCTCCTCTCCACCTACTTCCTTCTTACTCTCCTCTCTCCTTCCTATTCCTCACTTTGCCTCTCTTCCCCGCCTTCCTCATGCTCCCCCATTGTCCTTGTTGTCACTCAGTTGTTTCAGTTGTGTCTGACTCTTTGTGAGCTCATTTGGGGTTTTCTTGGCAGAGATACTGGAGTGGTTTGCCATTTCCTTCCCCAGCTCATTTTACAGATGAGGAAACTGAGGCAAACAGGGTGAAGTGACTTGGCCAGGGTCACACAGCTCGTAAGTGTCTGAGGCCAGATTAGGCAAGTCTTCCTGACTCCAGGCCCAGCCCTTCATGCACTGCAGCACCACCTAGCCCATACCTACCCTTTCTTTTCTCCTCATCTTTCTCCCTCCCCTCTTCTCTCCTTGTTCCCTTCCTCTCTTCTCCCTTCTCTCTTTTCTTCTCCCCTCCCTTCCTTCTCTCATTCCTCCCCTTCTATTTCCTCTCCTCTTCCCCTCTTCCTCCTTACCCCTCCCCTCCTGTGATAAAACATTCTCCAATTTCTCTTCAGGCTCTGATTCAATATCAACCTTGCCTATCTCCAGACCTCCAAGGAGGCTTGTACCAAGCCCAGAACTTTAGTAGGGGAAAAGAAAACAGTCATGGGGTCATCCTGTTTGTAAAAGTCTGTTGGAAAGGGAATTCTAAGGTCCCTTTGGGTTTCTGCTCCTGCTCCTAGGGCTGTCTCCTAAAAAGGCTTTTACCTCCCACCTACATTGCTTTGCTCCCTCTTTACTTAGCAGGGAAAATACAAGCACACATTTGTGCAACCCTGGGCAAGTCACTTCACCTTACTGAGCCTCAGTTTCCTCATCCGTAAAGTGAGGAAACCTCATTGCAATCTTCACCACAGGTTGCTTAAAACATCCCTGAATCTTAAAGAACTGGAGATATGCTGACGTGTTATTCTTCGGGTCACCTCTTGCTTTGAGGGATCTTTCTAGGGTTTTCCTAGTCATTCTTCCTATGGTCCATTTTGGGAGGCACAGATCTGTAGGAGGGACTGAGGGAAGAGGCCAATTGCCTTCCAGTACCTGGTAACAAAGTGGATGTTCAGTAAGTGTGCTGGATTTACTGAGATTATCATAAGCTTTTGAACTAGAAGGGACCTTAGAGGGCTCATCCAGTCAGTCCCCTCATTTTACAGAAGAAACAAAGGCTCTCATTAAGAAGTGACTCACTCAGGGTCCCACAGGTAGGAAAGTATATAGTTGATGTTTGAAATTCTGTCCTCTTGATTCCCAAACCCATTGGGTAGAAATATTCTAAACTCCATCTAATCAGTTCTGGGCTTGGTACAAGCCTCCTTGGAGGTCTGGAGATGGACCAGGTTAATTTAAGGATTCATGAATACTTGCCCCTTAAAATTGATTTGCATAGATTCATGTACATTATGAATTAATCTGAATTTCCTTTAAGTCTAAAGGTGGAAAAAGATTGTGATGCCCTGGTTTTCTTTGTCCTTATCAAGTTCCCATTCCCAACACTCAGCCCCCACTTCTGTCTCTGTTGCCATTTTCATTGGCTCTTGGGACTCCAAGGGGTGGGGCTGGTCATTGTGCATTGAGAGCTCCTGGTGTTCACTTGGAGCCTCAACTCTTGCCCACAGGTCAGTTTCGTCAGCAGCACTTGGGTCTTTGGATATATGATATGTCACCTGAGTCGTTTTGTCCAATACTGCTCCGTCTACGTTTCTGTGCTGACCCTGGCAGCCCTCGCTCTGGACCGACACCGGGTACCACTGGAACCCACTAGGGGAAGGGCATGGGGGAGCTGAGCTGGGACAGAGACTCAGTACCTGTGCATGGGGCACAGAGGGGGTATCCAGATAGCCAGCTGGGGCCTCAGCAGGGACGGTGAGCCTTGATTGATGGCTCACAGTCGTCGGCCACTATTGAACCCCTGTTAAAGTCATTGGTCATTGTCACAGGCCTTAAAGGGAAGCCAAACAGCTGGGAGTCCAATCCCCCTCCACCCCCCCCGCCCCCTCCAAGTATCATCCTTAAGGGTGCTGCGTCAGCTTGGTAGGAAGTCTCCAGTGGAGTGCCCCAGGGATTTGTTGCCATGTAACATCTTTATCAATAACTTGGATAAAAACATAGAAGGTACAATCATCAACTGTGTAGGTGACACCAAGCTGAGAGGGAGACCTAATACACTGAATGGCAAAGTCAGGATCCAAAATGATACCCACAGGCAAGAGCATGGGCTGAATCTAAGAAGAGGAAATCAATGGAAAACCTTTCACTTGGAGTCAGAAAGTCAACCTCTCCTGTCTAGAATGAGAGCAGCTTGGTTACATGGGAGTTTTTCTGACAAGAGGTCTGGGAGTTTTAGCAGGCTGCATGCTCAAAGTGAGTCAGAAGAGTGAGGAAGTGGCCGAAAAGCCGGTGGGTTGTTGGGTTGCCTTAGGAGACACAGGACTTCCAAGAAATAACTCCTCTGTCCTTTATCAGACCTGTCTGGAGGTCGGTTCTGGGCAGTTTAAGGACATTGATCAACTGGGGGAGGCATATCCAGATGAATGAGGGGCTCCCATTTAGAGAGGAAGCAGCCATGTTCTGTTTGGTCCCAGAGGGCAGAACCAGGGGGAAGGTGGGGGGCGGGGCATGTAGAGGGACCAGTGGTAAGGATACTGTTAAGAAAGTGGGATGGTTTGCCTTGAGAGAAGGCAGGTTTCCCCTCCTTGGAGATCTCCTGGCAGAGGCTGGAGAACTATTCTTAGGCATGTTATCATGTATTAGTGTGTTATTTCATATATAGGTTCAACAAGATGCCTGCTGAAGTCCCTCCCAATCTCAAAATCTGGGATTCTATAGGAAATATTTGAACCAGCTGTTTCCAGATGAGAAGAGGGAAGAGGGATAGGACTGGGTAAAAGGAACGGAGGGAATTAAGAAGGGGGAGAGGATCAGAGGATAAAAAAGGGACACTTGGGAGGGACCTTAGAGGTCATCTAGTTCAATTTCTTTCATTTTACAGATGAAGAAACTGAGGCCCAGAGAAGTTAATGATGCCTATAGTAACACAGGTGGAATAGCAAAGTCAGGATTTGAACCCAGGTTTTCTGACTCCCAAGCCTGCACTCTCCCCACTGCACCATACAAACTCTCGAGGAGAGGGAGGAGGATCAGTTTCCCCCAGAAGTCAAATGATCTTTAAGTCTCTCCCCTCCCTCTGGCATTCTGTGCCCCACTATGCTCTAGGGACTTCCCTTCCCACCCACAGACAAGGACTATAAGAACCTAGTGCTTACCGATGGCAAGCAAGGTTCCCCTTGGGAGTAGCAGATAAAGGTTTCTGCAATTGACCCAGAACCGGTACCCGCAGCTGGTACCTCCATTGGGGGTGTCTTTTCCTTTTGCCAAGATGTAAGTATGCACCCATGTATAAATGCCAACAAAGTGGACCATCCCTAAGGGGTCCTGAGAAGCAGTGAGGGGTAAGAGGAAGAACAGTGCATTTGGGGGAGTTGGCCTTGAATAATAGCTAGCATTTATATAGTGCTGGAAGGTTTGCAAAGCGCCTTGCAGATATGATCCTCACAACAACCCTGGGAGACAGGTGCTGTTATTATCCCCATTTTGCAGGTGAGGAAACTGAGGAAGATTAAGGTGAAATTATGCCAGCTTCTCTATTACATTAGCAGTGTGACCTTGGACAAGTCACAGGACCCTTCCGGGTCTCAGTTTCTGCATCAGTCAAATGACTGGGTTAGATTTGGATAATCTTTATAGTACCTTTACGTCTAAATCCTAGGCCCCACTCTTTGTGTGGCTTTCCCGTGTTGATGGAGAAATCCATTGTAATAGTCGCCAGTTGGCCAATAATGAAGGGCTGTATGAGTGGGCAGAATTGGGCTTATCAAATAAATTAATTAATTTTAATGTATATAAATGAAGTGTAATATAAATTAATTAATTAATTTTAATTTCTCTATTCAAACTCAGAAGCCAGATTTCTCCCCATGCCTATTGATGGCCCTCCCCAGCTGGATCAGATGTCTCTAAGGTCCCTTTCGGCTCTAAAAGCCTTCAACCCCAGCTAGTATCTTTTTTCTGCCTCAAAGATGCTGCCACTGTGCTGTCAATAGATTATTTGCAGTTCTGATCAGCACTGACCCATCTGCACTCCTACCCAATCCCCCTTATGATCAAGGGATTGGTGGTTAGGGAGCAGTCGGTGACTAGGGAACAGAGAAGCAGACTGGCCCATGGGGACCTTGGGACCTTAGTGTCATCACCATCACCTGCCACCCAACTGAACAAACTGATGGCTCTGACCAGTGGTTCGCAAGGAGTCCAGATTCTCCCAGAATCTTCCCAACACTTGGGAAGTAACCTGGGCATGGGGAGACTCTGGCTTCTGAATTTGAATTGACAAATCAAAATTAGTGTATTTAATTAATTTCTTTGTATTCTAATTTATTCCTATAAATTAAAATGAATTAATTGGATTGATAAGCCCAATTCTGCCCCCTCATACAGCCATTCATTATCACCCACCTGGATGACTTTTTTTTTTAACAGAACTTGGGGCCTCTGCTCCCTTTCCAATCCATCCATCCCTCACATTTAGTCAGAACGATCATCCTTAGATCTCACTGTGTTATTCCCATGCTTAAAAAAGTCTCAATGACTTCCTGTTGTTTGACATTCAAAGCCTTCAGCCTTTCTCATTCAATCAACAAACACGTATTGAGTGCTTACTATGTGCTAGGCACTTTACTAGGTTCAAAGGGTATAAAGGCAAAATTCTATTGTCCCTGCCTTCAAGGAGTTTACATTCTTTGTGGCAGACATGTACATATATTAGCATTTGTGACACACAGACCAAGTAGACGGCCAGCAGCTGAGGGGTCCAGGAAGGGCCTCCTTCCAAAGGTGGTACCTGAGCAGAGGCCAGAAGGAAGCCAAGGACTACAAGAGGCCGAGGTAAGGCAAGAGGGCATTTCAGGCATGGGGCGAAAGGCACGGAGATGAAAGATGGTGTCTTGTGTTCCTGGGATGGCAAGTAGGCCAATATGGCTGCATAGTGAAATGGATGAAGGGGAGCAAGGTGGCAGTGGACTTAAAAGGGAGGAAGAGGCTAGTTTGGGAAGGGTTAAAGGTCAAAAAGAGGAGTTCACATTTGATCTTAGAGGTAATAGGGAGCCACAGCAAGTCATTGAGAAGGTTAGTGACATAGTCAGACTTATGATCTATGAAAATCACTGTGGCAGCTGTATTGAGGGTAGATTGGAAATGGCAGAACCTTGAGGCAGGGAGACTAATTGGGAGGCCACTGAAGTGGTCCAGGTGAGAGGGGATGAGGGTCTGAACTAAAGTGATGTATACAAGTGGAAAGAAGGGGAGATACATTTCTTGTATACATGTATATGTACACATGGGTATACATAATATATACACATATGTATATATAGGTATATACTATATACCTATATTATATACCTATATATAATAATGTATGTATGTGTATACATAACACACAGTGCATATATATGTATCTAGTATACACATGTGTGTATGTGTATATATAACACACAGTGCATATATATGTTATCTAGTATACACATGTGTGTATGTGTATACATAACACACAGTGCATGTATATGTATCTAGTATACACATGTGTTTATATGTATATATAATACAATGGAAGAGGGTGGGATCAAGGGTACATGTAGATGGGTTGGCCTTGGAGGTAAGAAGGACATGATGGGAAATCATATCAGGAGGGTGCAAGATAAGGAGAAGGGGACTTGATTTTCTTAGGAAAGTATGAGTCTAGGTTTTCAGTCAAGAGAGTAGAAGGAGGGGATGCTGTGCAAGGAATTAGGAGAGATAAAAAGATTTGTAACAACCACTGCTGTCAGTGAGTTAGAGAATCGATTAGCGAGGAGGAGAAGAATTAACTTCCTGAAATAAGAGGCCACTTGAGTTTTGATAATATAAATTGGTAGTGATCTCAGCACCGTGGTGAGGCATCCTCCCTCTGCTCTGCAGGGAGGAGCAGAGAAAGAGGCAGATGGTAGGAGGAATCTGGGCTTGGAGTTTGGTGAGGGGTGAATGGTGATAGGGAAAGGGGGCAAGGGGCCTGAGTGTAAGAAGGTAGCTTAAAGTTGGACTGACTCAATAAGGGGGGACATGGAGAAGGAAGGAGAGTGCAGCCAAAGCAGAGGCGATGGCCTAGGAAAAGACGGAGGCAAAGAGGAGGTCACGGTGAGGGGGGAGGATAGGTTAGGAGGAGGAAATCCTAGGGAGAGATAAAATGATGGGAGATTATGACCTGAGAGAGAAATTTCAGAACCCTGGAGATGGAACGCTCAAGGGTGATGACAGTGATCAAGAGTGTGACTTCTGTCATCCACATGTATGTAGATGTCCCCTAGGAGGGTGGCATGAGTTTGGGCTGTGAGAAAGACTATGAGGCAGGCCCTGAACTCCCTGAGAAAGGAGGGGGAATGTGCTGGGGCTTGGGAATTAATGGCCACTCGGATCTGGTTTGGTTATTTGGATAGTGAAGGAGAGGTTGTTGAGTGATGAGGGTAGAGGTTGAGTCTGGAAGTGGCCATGACTGAAACGAGGAGAGTTCAAATGCCCCCACTGGTACTGATGAGTCAGGGGGTGGTCTGATGGAAAGTATAGCCATTTCTAGAGAGGATGGCCAGGGTGAGAGTTAGCCAGAGGGAGTTAGGTCTCATTCAGAGCCAGGAGATAACAGGAGCAAGAAATCCAAGAAGTCTCAAATGAAGGGAAGCTTGTTTATGATAAAGCAGGAATCCCAGAAGGCAAAGGGGCAGGGATGGGCAGATTTGGAGCAGGAACTTGGAAGTAGGGTCAAGGTGCCTAGGGATTAGAAAGTGGGCAGCAAGGGTTGGGGAGAGGGCTTTGCTCTTCGCATTTGGTATCAAAGAGATTGGGAGAGTAAGATAGGGAGGAAGAAGCTTCTTTCCCATCTGTGAATGGGTCCAGGCAGAGTAACAGAGGAGCGGGAAGGCGCTCTTCACAAAGAAGGTGAAGGTCAGGGCTCTGTTCAGTCTCAAGGGCCTCTTCCTGCCTGAGCAACTCGTGACTCAATGGTCTATCCAGAGTAAGAGAATCCCCAAGCAGCAGCCTGAATTGGGAATTGGAGTGGGTTCTTGTGCTCAATGTGGCTGGGGCTACCACTCTGCCTGCTGGATTTCTCCTTAGGCTTTTGAGCCAGATTCAAATGTTGCCTCTTCCACGACGTTTCCTTTGCTTCCTCCCATGGGTACTAAGTCTTGGTTCACACAGCACTTTGCCCCTCTCTGGATGCCCTTATCAGCCTCTGTCATAGATCCTACTTAGCTGTGTTCATAACGTATCCCTGTCCCAGGCTGTAAGTTCCTACGGGGCTGAGACTGTTATCCAAACCGGGTCTCCCCAAGAGCCTTGTACGAAGGCTGCACAAAATGCGCATTCAATCAGTTTGTTGACTAAATAACTAGATGTCCCATTTCCAGCACCGGACTCTGCTTTGGTTCTTGATAAAGATATTCTTCCCCTGCCTCTTTCCAGGTAACCCTGCAGCCTCTGAAGCCACGAATGACTACCACGAAAGGCGGTATCTATGTCATCATCATCTGGATCCTGGCCAGCTGTTTCTCCTTGCCACATGCTATCTACCAGAGATTGCCTCAGTTTGATACTGTGTAAGTGGGCCAGGGGAGGCCTGGGGATTGTTCCTGGCTCTCCTAGGGAGCTTCTAGAACTTGGGAAGTCACCTGGAGGCCCCATTTTAGAGGCAGGGGTTAATATGAGTATTCCTCCAAACACGATCTCTTGTCTCCCTCCCCGTCTCTCTTCCCTTGACTCTCACGTCTCCCTCTAGGCTGGGCAGCTCAGGCTGTGGTAGGAAGGAGGAGGTGGGGGAGGGGACAGAACAAACAGTGTTGTGTTCATCTGTGCCAACGTGGGGAAACAAAGTCCCCAATTAGAGCACCAATTAGCCCATTCACGAATTATGCTTCCATCTACGCTTCTTCTCACAAAGGTCAAGGTTTTATGCTCTGATCTAGGCCATCAGTAAATGAAAACATATTTGCATTTTGTAATTCTGCATTTCATACCAGAATCAGCGAACATGTGTGTGTTGTTCCATCTCTGAGCAACACAAACAGCTTTTATGACACAGGCAGCCGAAATATAGTTTTGTCAGCTGAAATACATGCAGATGTACAATGTATGAATGTGCTAATTATTATTCTCTCTTCTGATTGAGGAGTACTCTTTACTTGGAATATATATACACAAAGCATTAGTTAATTTGCAACTCCTGAGTTGAATACAGAGAGAAGAGCGCTTGTTTTTTTGGAATCAAGGGACCTGGGTTTGAATCCCACTTCTGTCACTTGCTACTTTTGTGACCCTGGGCAAGGCCCTTAGTCTTTTTGGGCCTCAGTTTCTTCACCTGTAAAGTGGCAGGGTTGGTTTAGACGTGCCCTTCTAGCTCTAAATCTGTGCTCCTATGAAGAGTATGATGGTGCCTGCTAAAAGAGCTAACGTAGGAAGGAAGAAAATAAATGTTTATTAATGTGGAATGTAGCTATGTGCCAGGCACTGTGCTAAGCACTTTACAAATATGATCTCATCGGATCCTCACAACAACTTTGAGGGGTAGGGCCTATTGTTATTATCCTCATTTTACAGATGAGGAAACTGAGGCAAGCAGAAGTTAAGTGACTTGCCCAGGGTCACACAGCTATGAAGTGACTGAGGCCAGACTTGAACCCTTTTGCCTCTTGAGCTGTTAGTCTGGTGAAGCCTATGAACCCTTTCTCAGAATCATGTTTTTAAGTGCATAAAATAAGATGCATAGAATTACCAAGAAAAACCAATTATATTGAAATACAATGATCTAAAGAGGCAGCATAGATGGTGCAGTGAATAGAGTGTAGGGCCTAGAGTCAGGAAGACCTGAGTTCAAATTTTCCCTCTGACACTTTCTAGCTGTGTGACCGTGGGCAAGTCACTGTACCCTGTTTGTCTCAGTTTCCTCATCTGAAAAAATGAGCTGGAGAAGGAAACGGCAAACCCCTGCAGTATCTTTGCCAAGAAAACCCCAAATGGGGTCAGGGAGAGGCAGACATGACTGAACAACAACGAAAATTATCAAAGTATTAAAAAATATTCGCGGACCCCCAGCTTAGAATCCCTGATCTAGAAGAAAGGGACTGGGATGGGGAAGGTGTCAGACAGCATGCTATATAAGGACTGGTTACATGAAATGGGGATATGTGGTCTGGGGAAGAAAACACTTAGAAAAGACGTCAAGTATTTGAAAGGCCATCATGTGGAAGAGGAAATAGACCTGTTCTATTTCACTTCAAGGGTGGGGAACCTGTGGCCCTGAGGCCACATGTGGCCCTCTAGGTCCTCAAGTGCAGCCCTCTGACTGAATCCAAACTTCACAGAACCAGTCCCCTCTAGGTCCTCAAGTGCGGCCCTTTGACTGAATCCAAACTTCACAGAACCAATCCCCTCTAGGTCCTCAAGTGCAGCCCTCTGACTGAATCCAAACTTCACAGAACAAGTCCCCTCTAGGTCCTCAAGTATGGCCCTTTGATTGAATCCAAACGTCACAGAACAAATTCAGTCAAAGGGCCGCCCTGGAGGACCTAGATGGCCACATGTGGCCTTGAGGCCGCAAGTTCCCCACCCCTGCTTTAGACTATGGAGCTAAGAGCAAGAGGGGAAAGTTATAGACATGCAGGTTTAGACTTCTCCCCCCAACTTCCTAATAACACAAAAATTTCCAATGTTGTGAGGTAGTAAGTTCTTCATCACTGGAAATCTTCAAGCAGAGACTGAATGAGCCCTTGTTGGGAATGTTGTGGAGGAGATTCAGGTTGGATTCAGTGGCCTCTGACATTCTGGGATGCTTCCTCTTGTGATTCTACCATTTCACATAGCTAGGTAAGATTCTTGAGGGGGAGAGCCAAGTAGACATTACCTCTGTATGGTGCAGGGCCATATGATTCATAGCTGCAATGGTTCTTAGATATCATTTATTCAAACATTCATTTTACTAAGGCCAGACTAATTACCAAGCACTTCTTGTGATGTTCCGGGAATGAGCTAAGAGAAAAGGAAGCACCTGAGAAATTTGAGGTGGGATTCAAAGCAGGTCCTCTGCCTCCAAATCCAACCTGATCCCCATGTCTCTCATTGCTTTCACCCCTCTTTCTGTCGCTTGTCTCTATCTGGCACAACAGGAACAAAACCAACAGAATGATCTGCCTTCCCAGCTTCCCCCACTCTTCAGATGGCATCAGGAAGTACCTGGACTTGGTTACCTTCCTTTTCCTGTACATCCTGCCCCTGGTGGTGATTTCGGTCACCTACTCACTAATGGCCAAGAAGCTGTGGCTGCGGAATTCCATCCGAGATATGGCCTCAGAGCATTCCATCAACCACCAACAGAAAAAAAGGATGACCCTGAAGATGCTGGTCATGGTGGTAGTGGTCTTTGCCATCTGTTGGCTCCCCCTCCATTTCTATGAGGTGCTCCTGTCCAGCAAGGCCATCTACAGCCATGAGGCTGTCTACTTTGCTTTCCACTGGTTTGCCATGAGCAGCACTTGCTACAACCCCTTTATCTACTACTGGCTCAACAAAAGTTTCCGTGATGAGCTCAAGATGGCTCTGCGTTCTTGGTGGCAGAAGGTGCTGAACTGTGGCCATGGACAGCCCCCCATCTCATCCACCTTTCGACGTACCTGGAAGGAATCTTACCCTTTCTGGGATACCAGTTTGGGGATACGCAGGCCCAATGAGAATTCCCCCCAGTGCGACCAGATAGATCTATCTGGCATCCATCCCATCATAGAAATGACTTGAGCTGATGGGGCTCTGATGGCCAAGCTATCCAACCAGAATAGGCCAGAGATTGGGGCTAAAGTGGGTTAGCTGTACCCACGCCTGGCATGAAATGCATAGCTTAGGTCATTCTGGGGTGGGAGGGGCATGTTTGTGCTATTATTTCTGCCTCTCTCCCTCTTTCATGGTTCTTTCCTTTCCTTCTCTCTTCTTGTGGGTCATGGGAACGTTGTCAGGCCCATTAGGATAGGTTCTCTGCCCTTCACTCAAAGGGACAGTTCACCTTGTCTTCTGATGTCTTTTTCTCATAGTTGCCATTGTTTGCTTATCCAGGCCTCAGTTTACCCACCAGTGTCCTGGACCTTGTAGCCATAGTTTCACCAGCTCTTGAAGATTCTCCATTGTGGTTGTCTGAGAACCACACCTTGTAAAATGAAAAAAAAAATATATCCAGAGAAATCCCAGAAGACGTGTTACTGAAATGTTTAATAAATGCTTGTTGATATATTTGTGTAGTTTTATGGAAAGACCACTGACTCTGGAGCCAGAGATGTTGGGTTCAGATTCAGTCTCTGATACTACCTTTGTGACCCTTGGCAAGCCACTCCATTTCCCTGGGCCTCAGTTTCCCCTTCTATAAAATGAGGAGCTTAGTTTAGATGATGTCTAAGTTCCCTTTTTGCTCGAGGTCTAAGATCCTACTGTGTGGTGTTCTGAGATCTCAAAGCACCTTGTAAAGACCAGCCCTTGTAATCCCAACTCAGTGACACGGAGAGAATGAGAGATCTCAAAGCACCTTGTAAAAAGACCAGTCCTCATAATCCCAACTCAGTGACAGAGAAAGAATGAGAGATCTCAAAGCACCTTGTAAAGACCAGTCCTCATAATCCCAACTAGTGACAGGGAATGAGAGATCTCAAAGTACCTTGGAAAGACCAGTCCTTGTAATCCCAACTCAGTGACAGAGAGAGAATGAGAGATCTCAAAGCACCTTGTAAAGACCAGTCCTCATAATCCCAACTCAGTGACAGAGAATGAGAGATCTCAAAGCACCTTGTAAAGACCAGCTCTCATAATCCTAACTCAATGACAGAGAGTGAATGAGAGACTCTCCTTTTTTTTTTAACATGTGGTACAAACTCAAAGTTGATGCTTCAAAATCCCTGATTCTCCTATTTACTGGATCTCCTGCCTTTCGATACATTGGGTCACAGAGATTTGCACTACTGATTTTTTTTCCTTTCTCAGCTTCTTTTTTCTAGAAATAGAGAAAACCTGCATGATTAAGATAGAGATAAAGATATTCTATCCTTTCCTGAGTCTGGCGTAGGGAGGATTCAAATTTGGCAAGAAGGAGATGTATGACTGAGGGGAAGGACAGAAGAAATAATCCCATCCTTTGACCATTTCCCTTCATCTGAAGACAGAATTCTTCGAGCTGCTGTGGGGGTGTAGCAGTGGCAGGGACGCAGAAGACATCTGCCTTGCCCAGAGCCCTTTCTTTTCCTGGAACTGGCCACTGTGAAATCAGCTGGGTTGGGGTGAAGGGAGTTGTATCCTCCCTTCTTTCCCCTCATCAATCAATCAATCAATCAATCAACAAGTATTTACAAAACACTTACCAGGTTCTGGGCACTGAAGATTGCAAAGAGAAAGAAAAACCAGTCCCTACCTTAGGATCATAGGCTTAAAGCCTGAAGGGAACCTTAGGAATTATTAAGTCCAACCCCCTTCTAGGTTCATACATCTAGAGCTGGCAGGGCCCTCAGAGGCCAACCCCCTCATTTTACAGAGGAGGAAACTGAGGCCCAGGCAGGTGTGAAGTGACTTGCCCAGGTTCACACAGCTAGTACATGTCTAGGCTGTCATTTGAGCCCAAGTCTTCTTGACTCCAAGTCTGGCACAGCATTATTGGCGGGGCACATCCTTAGGTCCTGGTTCACCTCTTTTGTGTCTCCCAGAATTCCTTAGCACTTCTGAACTAACTCCTCCCTATTGCCTGCTGTGCTTTATGACATGAATTCTGCATGAATAATGACATTGATGGCAAAAAGGGAATGTGATATTCTCTTCACTTGCTGTCCCCCCACACACATTTCCATGGGTCTCCAGGATGTTGACGTTGCACTGTGGACTTTGATGTTCCTCATTTCATCACCTTTTATTGCTCCCCCTCAACCCCATTTTTCCCCCTAGTCTTTTTTGAAAGATCAGAACAAATGCTTAATCTTTATATCTGTGTATCATGCCTGGCACAGACATTAGCGAAGCTTCCATCAGGTTCAATATTTCTTTCCCAATGAGGCTGTCTCTTTATGGAGATGTCATTCTTCAGCCACGACACACAGGAGTTAATCACCTTCTTGAACAAATCAGGTTTTAGATATCTTCACCATTTCTATTGGCCTTGGACGTGGCCAGAGGACTATCTCGTGCACCAACATGGGTGTCCTACTAACACTCTTTAATCCTTTTGGGCCAGGCACAAAGTCTGGATCTCAATGTTGGTCCATCAAAAAAGCATCTTTGCCATGCCAGGTTCACGACTTGCAGAATTTTCAGATGTTACATGCAGATTCATATGAATTCTTGGTGGCAAAGAATTAGTTCTGATACAGAGCAATGATTTAACAAACAAGGCTCTTTTTTGAGCACCGCGCTAGGGATGACCCAAGTGACCCCTCCTCGTTGCAAATGAGGGAAATTAAGCTCAGACATACTGAATGACTTGCCCATGGTTACACAACTATAGATTGTTGGGGAGAACTGAAGCCAGGCCCTGCTGATTCCAAGTCTAAGTGTCTATTTGCTATACCATATGGTAGTGACCAGCAAACCTTGAAGGTTTGGATGCTAAAAGATGTCAGTATGTCTCTGCTATAATTGAACTTTTTCTGTTTCCAAAAATCTATATACAGAAAGCAGGCTCATTACAGTCAAACTATTACCACCACCACCCCCATCTATGTACAGGAGCAGCTAGGTGGTGCCACAGTGGCCAGAGAGCCAGGCAGGGAGTCAGGAAGACCTGAGATGAAAATCTAGCCTCAGACACTTTCTAGCTGTGTGTCCTTGGGTAAGTCACTGCACCCTGTTTGCCTCAGTTTCCTCATCTGTAAAATGAGCCGGAGAAGGAAACGGCAAATCACTCTACTATCTTTGCCAAGAAAACTGCAAATGGGGTCACAGAGAAGTGACTGAAATGACTAAACATCAGCAACATCTACACAGAAACACAGATGGGCAGATACACATACATATTCACACATGCAGACACCCCACTTGCTCTCCCCTAAAGAAAAGAAGACACAACTTCGAGTAGTCAGTAGCATGTACTTTGGTGCTTTGAATGTGCACTATCTTTTGCATCTCTCCGTGGGTACCATGTGGAAAGTGATATCACCTGCTGGACTTTGCAGAGGATTTTGGATGACCCTAAGTGAGGGCTTGGCACTGTCACAGAGGGACCAGAAGAGGAAGTTCCTCATTGCAGAAAAGATTCTTCATGAAAACAGCTGTCAACTGGGGATTCCTAGAGAATGAGGCCTGCTGGTTAGGTCCTTTGGGAGACCAGAGGGCCAGACTTCTTTGGCCCTCATTACAAGAAATTTCTCTAAGCTATGGGGTGCTTATAGTTTCCTTCCCAGGCCTGCTGAGGCTCCCTGTTCCAGGAGTGGTCCACTGCCTCAAACCAACAAATGGCTTCCAAGTTCCACATTCCCACCCAGATCATTACTCTGTCAATGCTGAAGACTGCTCATGCCAAAGCCTGACTCGGGACCATGAGGCAAGCCTTGTTGGTGGCCATCCCATTGTCCTTTGGTCCCCAAAACGGGAAAGGAAATTAACAGCTGAGACATGGGATGTAAATAGAAGGTGGTTGGGGTTTTTTTTTTCCCTTTATGTTAACTTTTTTGGGGGGGGGGATTCTTGATCTCTGACGTATTGATGCTAAAGAGGAAACATATGGGTTGTAAGCCCAGCTGTGACTTTAAGCTATGTAACCCGTGTTAGTAATAGACCCCCTACACCTGTGCAATTGTGAACTTGAATTTTGAAACTCATATTTGTAGCAGTAACTGGGGACTGCCTATGGACCTGAAATTGGGGTCAGATGATTGCTGTAGCTGCTGAGTAACATCGATGGGGTCAGATTTTATCATTACAATGATGTTGGGTTCGTTGTGTTTTAGGGGGGAGGAGAAAGGGGAATCTCCCCTCTGTGCCCAGTAATGGAATAGTTCAGCCTGGGTGGACAAGGCAACCACTGGGGAGGGCTTGATTGCCATGAGTGCAGGTGTGTTTTGCTTTACACAATAGGCCTAGTCCTAGGGAAACTGGCCGGTGAATTGAATCCCATTTTTTAAATACAGCAAGAAGAACTTGCTATGTAGTTATGTAGAAGTCCTGAAATGAATTAAAAACAAAAACCCAAACAAGCCAAGTTTCCTTTTGTAATGAAAACAAGTTTGGAGTTTTCCCCCCTTGAGCAGGGCCCACTTGTATTTTCATGGAGTGAGTTGAGAAAGGGAAAGAGAGCTATTCCATGAGAACGTATGTTCTCTTGGGTTTCCTGTTCAGAACATTGCTTGGATCTCTTCCACTGAAGGTTGAGGCCAGTGTTTAAATGAGCTGAGATGACAGGAAAATAAATGCCTTCTTTTGCATGCCCCTTAAGGATTCTGTAAATTGAACTCTGAAAGTAAGTCAGACAGGAGAAAAAGGAACTAAATGTAAAAACTGAAAAAGTCTGAAGACAAATTTGCCAGTGGCCCTCGTGCCCCCCACATTGTACATTTACCAGTTAAACACCTCCTGGGGATCCCAGCCTGGGCCCTTGCTTAGAGAGAAGCTGTGACTTGGTCCTAGGGGAGTGGACTTTGCAAGGTCCTACCTACATCTTTTAGCTTTGCCTCTGGCTCCGTGTTAGTCCCTGGAGAAATGATAGGAGGGGTCATTCCCGCCCCACCCCCAATAATCCAGAGACCCCCCCTTGCCACTGGAGGTTCTACTTGTGCTGA